TTTTTGCAGGGTCTTTTGTGATAGTTTTTGTTATCAGGCACACAAGCATGCAAACCTGCTCTTCAGAGCCTTTTCCAACCCTATTTGCCAAGTGTTTTTTTTTTTTTTTTTAATACTACCAATTCCATTTTGATTCTGACAACTTTCACATTTCCCACCTTTGATCAAGATCTTTCTCTGAGAGCATCACTGATTATCCTGTAGTTGGATTTGACGACCCTAGGTCCCAGTTGCTGGTCTCATCCCACGTTTTAGGGAGTGAATAGCGGCTAAGAGTCAGTGTCAAAACCCTTTCAGCCACATTTGAACAATAAGGGAGATTTAAAGAAAGTGGTTCTCATGCTAATTCTACCTGGAGTCTGTTACTAAGTTCAATTTTGTCTGTTCCATAGTCTTTTGATACCATCTCAAAGTGCTGGGCTAGCATTCTCCTGTTAGGGTTGTGTCTCTGCAAAAATTTTAATAAGTAACAGATACAAAGTTTTGGTTTTGTTTTGAGATGGGGTCTCACTCTGTCACCCAGGTTGGAGTACAGTCGTGTGATCTGGGGTCACTGCAACATCTGCCTCCCAGGCTCAAGCGGTCCTCCCACCTCAGCCCTGGAGGAGCTGGGGCCACAGGACTTGCAGATACAAAGTTTAAAAAGGGAAAATACAAAGTAAAAATATCAAGGCTTCAGTGAGCCATGACCCATGGTGCCACCACACTCCAGCCTGGGTGACAGTGTGAGACCCTGACTCAGACAACAACAACAACAGCAACAACAAAGTAAAAATAATAGTAGTATGAAAATCCCAGTTTAAATAATGGTTTTGAGCCATACACTGAGGCTTCAAGATAAACAATTGAAGACATCAAATGATGAGAGAGAATTAAGTGAGAGCTGTTATTACCATGTGGCCTATTTTCCTACTTAACCAATGGATATTGAAGGATCTCTTAGTCAAGTTTCCAGCAGGAGCTACTGATTATGAAATTTCAATTACATTTTTATCTTGCCAAGCGAAAGAGTAAGCATTAAAAGGGGTGAGAGTCTCATGATGTGGAGTCTTTTGATGTCTTAAGAAATGCATGAAAACATCAGCTCTCCTGGTTTGCACTCTGAACGTCTCTGGTCATGACATTAGGCAGCATGATGGACTTCTTATTTGGCCCATACATCAGGTATGAGACTTGTTGCTTTCTATCTTATTTCACTAATATTAAAGAAAAAAAAACACTTGACAAATAGGGTTAGGGAAGGCTGTGAAGAGCGGGTTCACTTGCTTGTGTACCTGATAAAAAAATATCACAAAAGATTGCAAAAACCACAACCTTGCACAAAGGCCACACAATCTTACACACACACACACACACACACACAAAGACTTCTGTAAAGACATCTGCCCAATAATTGCTTGTTCAACATTGTACTGACATCACCCTTTCTATTGATCTTTACAGCAAGGATAATTATCTCCAAACAATTATGTAACCCATCTCATTTTTCCTTTAAAAACTTTTGTCTTTCTTTACCTCTCTTAGTATGCATGTAGTTTACTATGGCACACATATTTCCATTGCAATGCCTTACTCCTGAATAAATATCATTTTTATTTTAGAGAGCCCCTCTTCTGTTTGTTATTTAGGTTGTCAAGTGCTGAGATTGAAGAGCTGACAAAAGAAAGATGTTGTTCTGAATTTGAACTTTCGAGTTCATATTCAACCAATTCAGGCCTGGTTACGTATGTCCCAAAACCTTACCTCATTCACTGTTGTGATGGCCAAACCATGAGTCTTCCATAAAGAATGGAGTCTTTTGGATCCAGTAAGTAGTTTATATAAGATTTGAAGCTGATAAATCCAAAAGTGACCTCTTCCAAAATCTATTAATTCGTGGCCTCTGAAGCTTAGCCAAAGTCTTTGTTACTATTACTTCCCCTACCAGGAACACATGGGTACAGCCTACATTGACCCAGACATGAAATAGATAGAACTACTCATTCATTCCACACACATTTGTGAGTTATATCCCAGGCACTTTTCGAGGTCCTGGGGAAACAACAATGAACAAAGAAAAGTTCTAGACCCCATATAGCCCGTCTTCCAATTTTAATCAACAATTAATTGATAGAGGCTAGAGAGAAGCCGAATGGGATCAGAAATGGTGCTTTAAAATATATTCATTCAGCAAAAAATCACCCAGAAGGTTAGATAGTCTCTTTGGCATCTCATCTCAACCACTCAATCCCAGTTATGGCCACAAATAGGCCTAGCACAACTATAACAAGGCTTAAAGGGAAGGGGCCGTTATTTATCTGAACCTACATCTTTATCTGAGATAAAGATGGATTAATTATAATACGATGCTGACACTAACTGTAGTGATAAAGTTTCCCCCAGAGAGTCCCCCATTTGCAGGTACTGTTTATTAGTAGATTTTCTATGGAGGAGGGATTTTAGCTATAAAATTTGCAAATAAGACATTTCCCAGGGAGTGTTTCAGATTGGAAGTGAGTTACCGATGAATCTTCAAAACATCAGTATTTATTGATGGAAAGATTGATGAAAGCCCCAACTTAGAGCAGCAGCAGCCAGAGAGGTAGCAGGGAAACCAGCAAGAGTTTGTTTTAGAGAAAAGTTTCCAGCAGTTAGTGTCTAACTGTGCGTGTGGAATAGTTCTCTAAACTAAAACTGAGAAAGTATTCTTTGGGCGTTGGCCAGTAGGAGTTCACTGGTGACATAGGAAAGAATAGTTTCAGCCAAGAGCTGGAAGGAATGATGCCAACACTGTCTTTGTAATGGTGGATTTCTAAGTCCCCAAATGGAAGTTGATGATAATCTACAGTTCTCCTTTGTGAAATGTCTCAGCAACTTGAAAGAAAGAATCTCTATATAAATCTAGCACTCTGTTGTTGCTTAGTCACTGTCAACCTGTTTTATTTCGGTGGCTTGAGTTACCTTAATGTTTCCTCATTATAAATAGATAAGTTCAACTGACATCAAGATCTTTGACTGCAGTGGGCTTCTGGGGGGGGTGGTGGGGGGATCTGGAAGCACTCCCATTAACACCATACTAAGACGTAGCACATGCCTCATCCCCTGTCAGACCTCTGACTCCCCAGAATCCCCAGAACAATAATAGGCTTTACTTTGTGATTCCTCTGGTGACACATTTATTTTAATTCTTCTGGCAGAGCTGGAGACTCGCAGGATGAATTCACTCTGACATTGTTTTCTAATTAGGTGTCTTGACACAGCAGGCATTCCAGTCTCCAGCATTTCTTTTGTTTCTCTACTATGCCAGAAAGCTGTCTGCTGTTTAGCTGCCTGATCTTTGAGAAATGTTACCTGCCCTGTAAAATGAGATAACACATGGAAGGCACCTGGCCCAGTCCGTGGCACCTGAGAGATCCTTGAGAAGTGTTCATTCCATTGCCCTGTTTCCTCTCTCCGCCTTCATACCTTCTGGTGCTTTAGTGAACCTCAAAGATAAAAATATTACCATTGTAAGGTTTACATTTTTCTTCATCCCAAAATAGACCTCAGTAACTCTATAAGCAGATACTATATGGATTCCACATTTCATTTCCTCTTATTCTCACAGGGTACCTTACAAGTTAGAAATTTTTATTCTCTCTGCTTTTTGGAGAAAGAAACCTTAACTTTTCTCAAGTAACCGAGGTGGCAGAGTGGGTCAATAAGGAACGTGGGACAAGAACCCGCATGCGCCTGTCTCCAAAAATCTTCATTCTCAACCCCTGCACCAGACTGTCTTCCACACACGGGCTCTGAGCGGCCAGCACTGTATCTGGAGAAGCCACCACCCTGTCCGGTCCTCCAGACAGAACGGAAGTGTGCCTGACCCCAGCTGTAAGCACCCGCCCTCTGTGGCCCCGAGAGAATCCAGTCTCAGGGCTTGGCCCTTCCCCATCCCCTCCTCTGGGCAGCCCGCGTTGAGTCCCATCTGGAATGTGGAGGAAGAAGGCCCTGTAGCAAACGCACATCTCGACCCCCTCCCTCCCTGCCAGGCCTCCCTCGCCAACTCCATGCCCAATTTCAATCCTGAGGGGCGAGAACAGCAGGTGCTGGGGCCGCCCTCGCCCTTGGTGTTCTGGGAGCCCATTGTCTAATTTTGCTCGGGCCTGGCCTGCTTCCTTTTTAGTTCTGGGCATGTGGGCAGAGTACAAGCTAATTGGCAGGGCTGTTCCAAATCCTGAAGAACGCGGGCGCTGCCTGCTCGCCAGCGGGAGGGCCGTATGCCCAGCTTGCGCCCTGACATTTTCCGAGGCCTGGGCGAGGCCACCTGCCTGACGAAGGCTTACCAGGGAAAATCAGGTCCTGACAGCCTGACAGGGACAACCGCCCAGACGAGGGAGATTCATCTGCTCGCGATGCCTGGTCAGCAAGGAGGAGACTCGACTTAGGACGAGGAAGGGGCCTTGAAGGCACAGAGGATCCTCCAGCCCCCGGCCAGGGAGAAGCCACGAGGACCCCCAGGTTGCTGGGCGGTGATGAGGGGAAGAGGAGACCATCCCCAGCGCCGCAGCGAGCGCCCTCACTTTGGAGAGACAGAGGCGTCGATCCCTCCTGCGGACGGCTGGGGGCGCTGCGCTTCAACCGAAGGCAGAGATCCTGGACCCGGGCGAGGCAACCCCTCCCGGAGGAGAGGAACTCTTGAGGGGGGAAAACAGCTCTGCAGAGTGTAGAGGAGCCGGACTTTGCAGCCAGGTACCTCTGTGCAAGTCTCAGCTGTGCCTCTGAAGTAGCTAGCGGTTACCCAGCACTGTGCTAAGGTCTTTTCATCACTGTGTCATTGAAGGCTCACAGCCACCCTTTAAGGAAAACGATCTTGTGGTCATTATTTTATAAGAAATGGAAGCTCAGTGCCACCCCTACCCCATGGACACATTGCCAGAGAGCGGTGGTGTGTCTGGCCTGGAACTTAATGAATTCTGTCGGACAGAAGTCCATGCTCTTAACCATTAAGCCTCCCATACAAAGACACTTTGTGCGGGGACATGAGATAGAGCCTCATAGCACAGAAACCACAGAGGACGAGTTTCTTAGCTTTGTCATCTCTGAAATGGGAATAATAATATTACTCCCATCTTGCAAGGCTTTGGGGAAGATGAGAGCGAATGTGAAAAGGTCTATGGGAGAGGTCCTTGTGGGTTAAGGTGTGGGGGGAGTCCCCAGCCCCTCCGCGGGCACTCAGAGGGATGTGGGAGGACTGTGGAGCCTGTGCTTATTGATGCTGTTTCTTTTCAATCAAACCTCTGTCAGAAACAATGCATGACATCAAAATGGAGGAGATGTCGAGTTTGAACGGTAAGGTCATAGATTTTGTTTTTATTTTTATATTTTTCAAATAAAAATAATATGCATAATTTTTTCTCATCATAATTGTAATATGTGATGATGTATCAATTATGGAAAATACAGAAACTGTAAAAAGAGGAAGTGAGGAAAACCTTTGCTTCTCACTGTTCACAGTTAACTACTGTTCAAAATTATAGATAACAACTCTGGAGGCTGAGGTAGGAGGACTGCTTGAGCCCAAGAGATCGAAGCTTAGGTGAACTATGATTGCACCACTGCACTCCAGCCTGGGTGACCAGCAAGATCCTGTCTCTAAAAAAATATATAATAATAATTAAAATTTTAAAAATATTTAATTAAAAATTATAATTAACAATAATTTATTGCATATTTCAAAACAACTACAAGGGAAGAATTATAATGTTCATGACACAAAAAAAGATAAATGTTTGAGGTGGTAGATATCCCAATTACTTTGACTTGATCATTACACATTGTATACATGTATCAAAATATCAAATATATATAACCATGATATATCAATTAAAACATACTAAAAAAAAGAGATAACTACTCATTTTTCCTTTACTTACAGTGTTTCATTAATACATTTACTGTTTTACAGAATTGGTATCACATTGTAGGTTACCATACTATACTCCATTTTTAAAATGTAATATTTCACAAACATTTTACCATGACATGAAATAATCTTAACACATATGAGAATTAATGGTTGCTTTCCAATTTTCTTTGCAAAGTGGTTCATTACTTTTGTCATGGGAAAATAAATTTATGCTTGAAAGAACTTTATTGTGTTAAAAAAAATACTTGTAAGAGGGGTGCACTGCTTTGCCCAACAATGCAGTGTGTTATGTTTTATGTCTAGTGCAGGTCTGATGAAAGGTGATAAACCTCCAGTAGTAACCATGGTATGTGAAATGGAGATAAAGATGGTTGATTTTGTGGGGATTAAACGAGATCAGATAGGCAATGTGTCTCTAAGACAGTGTGGGCCATGGCGAATGCTGTCATGACAAAATTATGTTAGTCAAGGACAATGCTAGGAGAATAAGATGGGTGCTGGTTGGGAGTGACCTGGAGAATTGGAGGATAGCCACGCCGTGGTTGCTGAAGCCAGCTCCTATAGGATATCAAAAGCCAATGTTAAATACGCAGGAACTTTACAAGCTGGTTGTAAAAGGCTGTGAAATTTCACTGGTAGCTTGAAATCTGTTATGGTGTGAGCATTTACACCACCGAAATTGGAAATCAGCAAATGCTATATTATTCTCTGTGTGTGTATGTACTTTTCAGAGAGCTGATTTTACCAGCACACCACTAGCAGGGAAAATTCAAGGGCTTTGCTGCTTCTAGAAGTGGTGGAGCCTGCAGGAAATGCTTGTGAGGGCTTGTAAAGCATTAGTAGATTTTTTTGAGATGGTGTGTGATAAACATGAGCTGAAATCTTGGGTCTGATTGCTCTTGCACTAACTGGAGGAAGGAATAGGGAAGCATAAGCTTTGGGGAACCCAAAAGGTCAAACCAGGGGAGTTCTTGTTTATGCTCCAAAACCAGAAATAACTGGATTAGAGGATAAGACAGCAGGAGATGGGAAGCCTTGTCTCTTGGAGTGACAAAGACCTATTAGTAAATGGGAAGCTCAGGGCGGAAGAGACATTCTTGGCCAAGAGAAACTTGTGGGAAGGAGTTTAATTGATGAACAAACACAGCAGTCTCTTTTGCCATAGAAGGCAGGTGGCAAGGATCAGAGTCAGTGTCCATGCGCTAGGAGGGTTCACAGATCACTGGTCCATCTTATTCATCTGACCCTGTCACTTACTTCTGAGGTCCCCCACCCCCATCTCCAGGTGCTCAGGTGCAGGCTATAGCCTTCCTCTCCCACTTCTCTGTTCTGCCAGCATACCACTGCTTCTGTGTCCTTTGTCCTTGCAGTTTGGGTTTTCCAAAGGCAGAAGCAAGGACAGCATTCTTCAAGAGGACTTCATGGTGTTTTAGAGATCAACACCTTGGAAAGGAAGAAAAGAAAAAGAATAGCGCTTGGGAAGAGAGCTTCAGTGCAGACCCAATAAAGCTTCTGGCAACCAGGTGAAGAATCTCTGGAGAGACCATTGCCCTTCCAATATTCTGTGCCACCTGGGCCAGGATTTTATAAGTTGCTTCGCTCAGTCCCCGTATGAGAGCTGCCCAGGAAGGGAATGTCAGGGGCAAGGAGACTGCCTGCAGTTGAGGCAGACCCTGGAGGGGTAGAGGCAGAGGACTAACTGCACTCCCGCAGTGGTCTGCTTTTGGGGAGGTGGCGTGGCAGAGAACACACAGCTTTCTCCCTCTTTCCCAGCGAGGGAGCAGCCTCCTTCACTACCCTCAGTATTGCTGCACTACCCTCAGTATTACCCTCAGAATTTTCTGCAGGGCTGGGAACATCAAAAAGGAAGTAGGACACAGTAGAGAAGAGGTCATAACTAATGTTAGAGGCAGCCACAGTCAGGGCTCACAGGTCCACGCGGGCCTGTCCTTGGCCTCTGCAAAGGGTTTTGGGGCCAGGCTCCACTGGCTGGGCCTGCTCACCCCTGCATCATGACTTCCTGTCCAGACCCAACTGCCCAAGGTCAGGAGAGAAGAAAATGCTCTCTGCCTCAGCCCAACTCAGGGCCTGGCTTCCCAGGCTCCATTTCTTGTACTAGGATCTACCCTCTCTCAGCAGTCTTCAAAGTGGGAATGACTGTCTCCTTCTTGGGGAATGCCATTTTACACCCACAGGTGGGGAGGGGGCGGGACAGCCACCTCATGCTGGTTTCTCCTCAGCAGATTCTGGGTGGCCTAATCTTACAAAATAGTTTAGACTGAGCTGCCCAGGCCAGTCCATTTCTTTCTAACTGTGTCATACATGGGATTTGGTCCTGTAGCACTTCTTTCCAGCTCTCTACATCTTGCAAATTATGCTTTAAAAATCCTCATCAGTTTGTTACCGGGTGCATTCTAAATCATTCAGAAAAGGAAAACATTTCTCCTGTTTTTCTCTTTCCCTCCCTCTTCACCATGAAACAAACATGAAATGCTCCAGACAGAAGAAAACATAACCTAGTCTACAGAAATCTGAGCTCTGGCACAAGCAGACACGTGTTAGCATCACCCTGCAGAACACTCAGCTTCTGAGGCAAAAATATTTCGTTTGGGAGAAGGATGATTTTACTATGTTTTTTCTGAATAAACTTTATGAAACCACAAGGTTTCTTCATATGGTTTTCCCAGAATAAAAGGACAGTCTACCAAAAGTGAATTTGAATTTCAGTCTTTTCAGGAAACAGTGGCTTGCATTTTAAAATCACTGTTTTCTTCAGCTTTTAGTCAATTAATTAAAAAACAAATTAGGAAGAAAATTCTAGCTACAGGATTCCGTAAGAGATACACATAACTTTGAAAATAAGAAAAAAATTCCCTGTGAATAAATTGAGAATAACTTGAATGGGAAAGCCTTAAAAAGTTTAAAACAGAAGAAAACTATCAACTAAGCATACTAATACATAATATTGCAAAAATGTTTAAGAAAGAATGAGCAAAGAGAACAATGTATCATAATAGTAATAATGTTTGACCAAGGAGGGCTTATCCTAAAAATACAAGAATAACAAGAATATAAGAATGGTTCGATATTAATAAATATATTAATGTAATTCATTATATCAATATATTAAAGCACATTATTAGTCAAAAAATTAAGTAAAGATATAAATAGAAAAATATGAAAATATGATAAAGATGAACAAATATCAATAGCAAACATCATTATAAATAATGAAATGAGAATACCATTTTCATTAAAATCAAGAACAGAAAAGACATGCTTATTATCCCCAAAATTCAACATTAGTTAATTCCAGTAAATGCAAGAAGGCAAAAAATGGAAATATTTTGTATAAATATTGAAAAAGAAGAGATGAACTATCATACTTTAGTAATGTAATTTTATACCTAGAAAATTCAAGAAATATAATATTAGAAGTAACATGAACATTTTACAGGATATAAATATAGATCAGAAAGGCACAGGAGCCATATGAAGGTTAGCTATAATATTTTATCAAATGATCTAAAGCAAGATCAGAAAAGTAATCAAAAGATATAGTATGGAAGGGAAAATTTCACACCATAAAAATGTCATTTTCCTCAATAGTAACATGTATAATTAATGGAATTTTAATGTAAGTGGAATTTAAGTAAAGTTTTTATTTAATTGGATACAGAATTTTTTAAGATTCATGTGGAAGACTATATATGTCCAAGAATATATATAAAATAATGAAGACAGAGTAGCAAAGGAGGACTTTCCTACCAGTTCAACTCCTGGAAGTCTGTTCTATAGAAATAAAACCACCAGTACAAGGATATTCACTGCAGCATTGCTTGTGGTGGCAAACATCAAGAAACAAACTGAGAACTCATTGAAAGGGGAATGGTAAAATCATGGCATATTCTCAACCATGTAATGTTGGGCAATATTTAAATAGAGCTTTACCAATTGATTTGGAGAGATTTTCACAAAATGTTTTTAAGTGATAGAAGCAAACTTCAGGGAATGTATGGGGAAAAAACATTTTTGTAAAACAAATATTGACAACCTTTAAATACATGTATACATGTTTTTGTATTGTTACATGAACACGAGAATGTTAGAAAAACTACACACGGGGTTATTAATTGAGCATCTGACCTTATTGCATGTTCTAATTATATATATATACACACACACACACACATCTCTTTTTGCATATTCATAATTTTATGTGGACAGAGTGAATGCTGTTTTTTAAATCATGAATTCCTTTACATATAAAGAAAATACAATAAATCCAGTTTCATTTGGGGGAGTAAATTCCAACAAACTCTCACATTGAGTGAGATTCTACTATGTGAGTAAAATTCTGGAGTAAAAGGAGATGCTGAGAAGTGATGGCTCTTGTCAGTTAATTACGTACATTTGAGCAAGT